TCTCTCTCTCTCTCTCTCTCTCTCTCTCTCTCTCTCTCTCTCTCTCTCTCTCTCTCTCTCTTTCTCTCTGTCTCGGCACTATAGGCAGAATGGTGAGTTCAGTGCATGCTAGGCAAGTGCTCTGCCACTGAGCTGTCTTCCCAGATCTGCAGTTTAACCATCTGTGTTCTGTGGAAGATAGTAAAACGCTTTCAGTATGTCGCAGGATGCTACTCTGTGACCATACCGCTGTGACCACTGTGCTGTGAGTTCCTCTGGTCCCTTCATCTTTTCTTTTTTCCTTCCCCAAATAGGAATGAAGTAGTCACAGATATCAATTGGCCTTATTTTGTGTTATTTCAAGCAGCTGAGTGTTTTTGTTATCTTTAGGAAAGATTATATTTTGCTATAATTGTGAATTGAAATGCATTTGTAAGAAATAAGACAGAGAAATCCTCTGTGCCCTTTACCTACCACCCCGCCCCTGGACTCCACAACTCACAATATTATGGAACGTTATGACTGCCAGAATGTTAACATTAATTAATATGCAGAATATTTCTGTCTATTCTAATAGACCAGAGGGTCTATTATGTTTGCCTTTATAGCTATCATCACTTCCTTGCTCACTGCCTCTCCTTACTCTGTGGTAACTACTGACACATGCTCTAGTTCTGTGGTTTGGGCTTTGAAGGAGCATTCTTATCAGAAACAATAATAAAAGCAAGAGGCAAGTTCACAGACTCATGACATGGACTGTATGATGGTTCACAGATGTGCATGTAGCTCCAGTGGGTCCAATTATATGCATGTATATATGTATATATAGCTATAAATAGGGAGATAGATAGATAGATAGATAGATAGATAGATAGATAGATAGATAGTTAGTAGGTAGACAGACAGACAGACAGAGATATATTCACCTTTTCCCTGTCCATCATACTTCAGTAAAGTATGTTATGTAGAAAGAATACCAAATACTATGTAAAAAGAATCATATAACATGTGAGGTTGACTATTTCACTTAGCATAATGCTCTGGAGACCCATCTCAGTTGCACACACATCAGTAGTTCTGTGGTCAATTCTCAGACACAGGTGTACTGTAGTTTGTTCACGTTTCTCTATTGATGTACACATGTATATTTTCTAGAGGTTTGGGCTATCATAGGAAGCTGCTGTAAACATCTGTGTATGCTTCAGTTTCCATTTCTCTGGGGTAAATGCCCCAGGTTAAAACTCTGAGTCATATATTCTCTGGATGTTTGAGTGGTTTATTTTTTGTTGGTTGGTTGGTTTGACACAGGGACTTACTCTATATTCCAGGCTGACCTAGAATTTACCATCTTCCTGCCTCAGCCTCCTGTGCACTGGGGTTGTAGGCATGCACAAACTGGCCAAGCTGTATTTAGTTTTTGTAGGTGACAAAATAGTTTCCAGAATGCCTGTGCTGTTTGTCATCCCACAGTCAATTCCTTTTCTTCAATATCCTTGATGTTATCCGTGCTGTCGCAGGTTTTGACTTCAGACATCCTGATCCATGTGTAATAACATCTCCGCTGTTTTCATTTGTGTTTTCTTAATGTTATCACTAATTTGCATTCCTCTAATGTTGACCATCTCTTCGTGTGCCTATCGCCATCTGGAGATCCTCTTTAGGGAAGTGTCTCGTGTTGCCACACGAGGAATATGGAAGGCAGAAGGGCCCATTCTCCACAGAAGCAAGCTCTGCTCTGTCAGATCCAGGACCTGAGGAGCCACCTTTCTCCCTCTCTGCCTTGTCTCCTCTTCCATCCTGTCCTTCTTCCCAGCATTGTTGGCTGTGGCTTGTCTTACCTTTGTGATTACGACACATAGAAAGAAAGCGGCAGAAAAAGAGGAAATCCCTTCTCTACTGTAGGTGACAGATAGTTGGTAGTTTGTCAGAATTAGTCTCCAAATTGTCCCTTATTCAAGGAACATTGCCCTTGATACTTGGAAAAAATGATTTAAATTGAATAAATTTAGTGAGTTGACGGTACATATAATTCCTTTTCCATAGCACTGCTTGGAAATCAAATTGGAAATAGCAAAACTCCTTGAACTCAGTGACATAATAGTGCTGGCTTTATTCCTTTGGAAGGAGAGCTAAATCTGTGGGCATGTTTACTTTCCAGAGCATACTTGTATGGCCACCTTTTTTGTGCTGACGAGTTATTTCAAAGGTGTTTGCTTTATGCAAGAGGACTTTTTGAAGATGCACTGAATCTCAAAAATAACAACGAAGACAATCCCTCAGCCATACGCCTGATAAAGGTGGGTGGAAGCATTCCCTGCCAACAGTACAGGTACACAGAAACTGGGAAAACCACTCAGAATTTTGAATAAAGCAACAGCAATTTCTACATCCATCTGTAAATCACTGTGGGCGACTGATGTGATAAAATAGTGGTCAAGAACATGGCAACCAATGGTAGGAGTCAACATTTCTAACAAATTCTGGCTGATATCTTAACAGAAGTGACTTCGAAGCCCTTTGTCTTAGTTAGGGTTTCTATTGTTGTGAAAAGACACCATGACCACAGCAACTCTTATAAAGAAAACACTTAATTAGGGTGGCTTGCTTATAGTTTCAGAGGTTCAGTCCATTATGATAGGAAGGGGAGCACAGCAGTGTACAAGCAGATATGATGCTGGAGCTGCAAGTGCTACGTCTTACAGGCAACAGAAAAATTGACTGACTGTCATACTGAGGGAAGCTTGAGAAGAAGAGTCCTCAAAGCCCATCCCTACAGTGACACACTTCATCCAACAAGGCCACACCTCCTAATAGTGCCACTTCCTTTGGGGACCATTTTCTTTCAAACCACCACACCCTTTATTGCCAAATGTCTCTCTAAAGTGCAGAATTATGTGTAATTAATAATTTCTAATGCACGGTGTTTTTCATGTCAAGAATTCATCACAAGATGGAATTAAGCAATGTTGGCTTAAATGAATGAACTTTCCTGCTTCAGGATTTTAGGAAAGATGAGCTTACTAATGGCCTGACTTAGTTTATAGTAGAGCTTTTTATGAAAAAGACTAAACACATAGAACTATAAGTCTTAAGTGCTTCGTATAGAGTTAAACAGATTATGTATAACTCTGTATAGAGTTAGCAAACTTTACTTTACTATCTCAGTATGTAGGGAGATCCTGAAAGGTAAAGTAGTCATTTAAATTTAGAAAGAGAAATGGTAAAGGAACTTGGACAAGTTTTGAATTTGATAATCTCAAAAATGTTTTTATGTTGAATATACATGACTAATAAGATCAACACCTAACATAATATTTAAATCAACATAAGTTTAAAATCAATGAAATATAGTAATTAACTGTTCGATATTCTTTGAGGTAGTACAAGAATTCAGGTAGATGAATTAATCACTACAGATAACATATTTTGTTTGCTTGTTTTGCTTTGTTGGGGGGGGGGAGCTTGTTAGTTACTTTGTTTTTTGAGACAAGGTTTCTCTGTATGGCTCTGGCTGTCTTGGAACTCAATCTACAGACCAGGCTGGCCTTGAACTTGGAGATCTGCCTGCCTCTGCCTCCTGAGTGCTGGAATTAAAGGCATGCACCACCACCACCCATCTGTATTTTGGATATCTACATTGAGGATATTAGTATTAGTGTTTCTGTCTTTTTTTTCCCCCTCTTTCTTAGGTTTATGAGACAGGATCTCTTTGTGTACATCAGTTGGCCTGGAGCTTGCTGTGGGGACCAGACTGGCCTCCTGTTTATAATCCTCCTGCCTTAGCTTTTCTAATGTTAAGATTATGAGCCTTTACCACCACTCCTGGCTGAATATTAAATTCAGTTTAACCTAGGAGACATCTTTGTATGGTTTTTGTGTAGGAAGAAATGCCTATTTTAGATTGTCTTATGATTAAGTGAATTTTAAAACTTTTAAACCATGAGTATGGGACCAGGCTTGGTAGCACACACCTTTAATCCAAGCACTTGGGAGACAGAAGCAGACAGATCTCTATGAGTTTAAGGCCAGCCAGAGCTACATAGTGAGACCTGCCTCAAAAAACAACAAAGAAGGAGGAGGAGAGGGAGGGGGAGGGAAGGGAAGAGAGGGAGGGAGGGGAGGGAAGGAAAGGAAAAAGGAAAAGGAGGCAAAAGGAAAGGAAACTTAATGACTAGGAAAGCTAAGCAGTCTGGAAAATCTTGACAGATTTTTGTCTGTGCCTAAGACACGAGCGGGTAGCAGGTGCTGTATCAGCGACTAAAGGCTGTCAGGGTTCCCTGGGGCTTTCCTATCAGTTTTCCCTCAGAGCATCACGAACCTTCCAAAACTTCACTTTCAGATGACAGAGCTGAGAGAGATCATGCTCTTTCTGTGTGGACAGAACAAGGCAGAGATTGTGGATTATGTTTCACATTTAAGAGTGGAGTCTGGGTTTTTGAAAGGCATTTTGGATGCTTGGTAAGGAGTTAGATACGCTATCTTGTCTATTGGGGGAGAGTCAAGAGCAGAGCAGGTAGTCCCGCAGTGTCTCGGGACTCTGGTGCCGAGCACATTTGGGGCTGTTCCTAAAGAGAACAATGATTGAGAGTCTCAGTGTGCTAGTTTAGAGGCATTCCTGTTTTGAAAAAAATCATCAGTGCAGAGATAATGAGGTTAACAAATTAATTAGTATGTTATTAATCGATGCAGGTATAAACAATATTAGCAGTGAAACCAGGAATGAGGGAGGATTTTTGAGGCATTTTATTTGAAAAATTAGAATCGGATAATCAGACAAGGGACAAAGAGGAGAAATTGAGTCAATCCAAAATAGTAAGGCTGGACCATAGGCGGCTTTATGTGAAACTGTAGCATCTAGGAGTAGTTGGTTTATTTTACTGTTTGGGAGCCACCCAGCTCCCAAATAAATACATGAAGACTGATTCTTACTTATGAATGCCCAGCCTTAGCTTGGCTTAATTCTAACCAGTTTTTTTAACTTAAATTAACTCGTTTCTCTTTTTCTACATTTTGCCTCTGGACTTTGTACCTTTCTTTATTCCGCGTCTGGTTGTGTGTTTGGGTGGCTGGCCCCTAGCGCCCGCCTCTCCCTCTCCTTTCCTTGACCCTCCCTCTCTCTTCCTTCCCTAGCCTAGATTTCTTCTCCTATTTACTCTCTCTCTGCCAGCCCTGCCTATCCTTTCTCCTGCCTAGCTATTGGCTGGTCAGCTCTTTATTAGACCTATCAGGTGTTTTAGACAGGCAAAGTAACACAGTTTCACAGAATTAAGCAAATGCAACATAAAAGAATTATTGGGGGATTTATTAAAGCAACTCCATGTAGTTAAAAAGGTTTATTTTGGGGTGTAACTTACAGCTAATAAAGGGGTTGGTTATAGGATCCAGGAGAGGTGAGATGCAGTCCAGCTGGGTTCTCTGGAGAACTCCGCTTGGCCTACCATCCAGCATCCAGGATCACCAGGAACCAAGAGAGCCAGCATATCCGTGTTTGGGGTCTTAAGGACTCCCATCTCAGCCCCGCCTCAGGGGCAGGTCATAGGTAGGCATGACAGTTACCGGAAGCCTCACTGGGGGTAGTACTTCCAGGTCAAAGCTGGAACTGCTATCCACTTCAAAGAATGCAGCGTATCTTTGCATCATTAAACAAATGTTTCACAGCATAAAATAATGTAATATGTCTTAAACTAATATTCCACAACATCTAGGGATAAAGAGGTCTGCATATTGATGAAATGTTTTGTGGCAAGAGAATTAACATGCCATAGAAATGTAAGAAAATATTGAGAGAAGGATGATTAATAGCACATGCTTGAATGGATTATACCATTCTGTATTACCAAAAAAGAACTAATTGTGTAGTTGCTGGAAATTTCTCCCTATAGGATTCCCAATAATGTATAGCAATTACCTAATTTTAACTTGTTCGTTAACTTGTATATGTTTGTGTTGACTCCTTGAGTGTTTGTGTGTGTGTGTGTGTGTGTGTGTGTAAGGTTGTTTTTAATAAAATATTAATCATTTGATTTCATCAATAAAGATTGGGGAGCCATATGCTGGGGTGAAAGCCTGCTAGCTCAGAGAGGCAGAGCAAACACCCAGCTGTCCATCCTCCTCTGCAATGTTCCAGAAACCTCTCCTTTCTCCTCCGCCGTCTCAAACAAGACTCATCAAACTCAATGTTCCTCCCTTCTACTTCCTGTGCATCTCTATCCATCCTCCTGACTCCTTCTTACTCCTATGGATCTTTTTCTTGCTCACTTCCAGTCAACTGGTTGCTTGCTCTGCCTCTTGACCTATGATTGACTTCATTTAATCCTGTTTACAATATCCAAGCAGAAAGCTCTTGGATTAAAGGCATGTGCTAGGACTGAGCCACACCACAACTAGAAACAGGTTTTTCCAGTAAATAATGCAACAGTAAATATCCTACAACACATGGTCATGTATGTGTGTGTGGAAGCCGAAGATGCATGTCCGGTGTCCTCTGTTGTGCCCCTTACTTTTCGAGACAGCATCTTTCACTGAACTTGGCATTCAGGGATTGACTAAACTGGCTGGCCAGCAAGTTCCAAGGACTGACTGACCCAGCTGCTCTTCCCCAGCATGAGAGTTACAGATGTGCACCACCACACCAGCTCTGTGTGTGCTGGGCTCGGAACCCAGGTCCTCACGCTTTTGCAACTGGAACTTTACCAAATGAGCCACCACCCTAACCCAGTTTTATCCTGTACTTCATACTCACGCTTTTGAGTTAACAGATCATTGAAATTCAAAAAGCAAGAATAAGTTTTGGAGTTAGTGTGATCCCTAGTTTTCATAGATAATACCTTAACTTTCTTAATTTTAAGAAAATATAATTTTTAAAGATTTCTATTCCAGATTAATTTGAGTTAGGGTTTAAAATAATACTGTACCTTTCCTTTTATTAAGATTTAGTTATGATGGGCATAGTGTGGTATATGGCTTTAACCCTAGCACTTGGGAAGCAGAGGCAGGCAGATCTCTATGAGTTTCAGGCCAGCCCTACATAGTAAGACCCTGACTCAAAAAAATGAAAACAAAAAGATTTAATTGCATTTAACTGTATTTAAATTTGAAGAACATTTAAGCCATGGTATGTAAAACAAAATATAAAGAAGAAATTATAAGCTATGCTCTTCAGTATGCCATGAAAAGGTGATCATATTCCTTATCTCTTGCTCTTTGTAATTGATTTTTCATTTTCAAACCTGCAAACATTTCAAACATTTACTGCCGTTTGATAGCTGAACACTTCCCAAACTTACGTTTTGGACAAGTTTTGTGAAGAGCAGATACAGCAAGCCGCCCAGGCAGTGGTACAGCTTGAGGAGATCAAGACTAAGGCAATTGCAGAGATAAGAAGTACAATCTTAAAGGTAATTCTGTGGTTTTATCTGTCCTGTTACTGTGTGCTAAGTGAGCATTCCAAATTGCATTCCTAAAAAAAGTATTGGAAATGGGCAGGAGAGAGTCAATGGTGGTTAATTAACCAACCAACTGGTATTACATTTACTATGTCTAAGAACTTTTTTGGGGCATGAGACAAAATGCAGTGAAACATGTATATGTAAGTATGTCTATGAGTGCATGAAATATAAATATTTCTGTAATTTCAAGATGCTTCCTATCTAGCCTGAGCTAACATATAAAGGGACTCTGATTAGTTACAAAGTTCTTAGTGTTCATAAGATAAAGAAAACTCCATTGCTCAGGAGAACCATCTAGATGAAATGAAACTTCACTGAGGATTTTATAAAGAGAATTCAGTAATACAGTGGACAGTGTCTGCCGAGGCATTCTTCCCCTGTGCGCCGCTGAAGATCCCTCTGTGTAAGTATGTGGAGGCACTCACCTGCCCGTCCACTCCTGTCTGACTTGCAAACCTACCTGCTTCGGAGATTCTAGACGTCACTGGCTTCAGAACACATAAGGACTCTCTCTTCTTGACAGATGTTTAAATGCAGTGTGAATGTGAGATAAAATACTGATGAAAGTTGGTAAGATTTCGTTTTATATACTGCCCAGGCCAATTATGGTACTATAGACTGCAGATCAGCTGCATGAACATAGGGAAATGCCATGCTTCCCAACTGCTTTATGAATTTTAGGTTGCAGAAAAGAAAGATATTAAAGAATACTTTGAGTCAAAACCATCTGAAATCGACACAACACATTTTAAGCTGCCCCAGTATCGGTCTTTATTAGAAACCAATTTGAAGTTTTTAAGGCTGATTGATTACCTGTTTCAAGAACTCATTCGTCAGCTCATGAACTCTGCAGTCAGCCAGCTTTTGGAACTATTCATTGGTTCTGCTAGGATGCCATTTTCAAAGGAAAAAATGAATGAAAGTCTCATGAGGTGAGTGACACGTTTTGACTAATAAAGGGAAGTTATATTCTTGTAATATATTACTAATTGTGGAGAAAATATCCAGGAATTAAAGTTAGACTTTGAAAATCTTCCATGTAGCAAATAACTTACACTAATTTCTGTAATTTTTATTATCAATAATACCTTAATATTGCCCATTAATTGAAGAAAAGTTGTTTTTTTTTTTCTTTAAATTCTGAGTAGATCTGTTACTGTATAAAATGTAGAGTGCTCAGTGAAATTTGAATAAATTCTTTAGTTTTCTCATGTGGAAATAAAATGTAAATTTCCTCATAAAGTGGAAATAATAATGATGACTATGTCATCAAGTTGCTAATAAACACAGAATAAATTCCTGTTAGATACAGGTCCCATGATGGTTGCTACTATCTATCTGTATTTTAACAATATTGATTTCTATTTCTATAATAACTAATGATGTTGAATATTTTTTCATGTGCTTGTTGGCCATTTGTTTTCATTAAGAAAATGTCTGTTCAAATTTACCTTTCATTTTTTAAAATCAGATTATGTGCCTTCTTCTATGGGGTTGTAAGAACTCTACATGTGTATTTTGGATTTCAGGGATCATCATCTCACTTTCTTCATGGTATTCCTTAGAGAAAGGGTTTTACATTTTGATTTGGGTAAGGTGGCATATACCTGTGTTCTGAGCATTCCAAAGACTGATGCAGGAGGTTACTAAGTCAAAGCCAGCCAAGGCTGCAGAGTGAGTTCCAGACTAGCCTGCCGGGGAGTGAGACCCTAGGAGAAAGAGAAAAAGAAAAAGGAGGGGAGAAGAAAAGAGGAAAGAAGTGAAGAAAAAGAGGAAGGTGGAAGAACATTCATTTTTATGAAATCTACTTTGTTTCCCTTTGACTGTGCTTCAGGCATATCTCACAAATCATTACCTAATCCAAGGCCATGAAGATTTATGTCTATTTGTCATGACAGGGTCTAAGATCATTTCCACATGATCATCCCATTGTCCCAGCATTATTGTTGAAGAGAAAATATTTGTTTCTTCATTGAATTCTTTTGGCAGTTGATAATCCATTCTGCCATAAGTCTATAGATTATTTCTCAGCTTAATTTGTTTCACTTATTTGTATGTCGATCTTTATGTCAGTATCATACTGTCTTGATGACTCTACTTTGTATCAGGAAATTGCCAGTCTTCCAACATTGCTCTTTTTGCTTTTCCAATACTGTTTTGGCCATTGTATATGAACTTGCTAATTTCCGAAAAGAAAGGAAAAAATGACAACCAGGATTTTTATAGGTATTGTATTGAATCCATTGGGAAGATTTTAATAATTAATTTTTAAAACGATATCATTTCCCTCTTCTCTTTTCTCCCTTCTCTCTCTCACATGCCCTACCTTGCTCTTTCTCAAATTCATGGCCTCTTATTCTTTAATTGTTGGTATGCGTAACTAAATACAAAATACAATCTGTTCAGTTCTTATAAAATTACCTGTATGTATATGATCTTAGGGCTGACCACTTGATATTGAACAATCAACTGGGAGAAGACGTAGGGAAGGCCATTTCTCCAACTCTGTATTCCCCAGTGCCCTTAGTTCTTGTCTAGGTTGAGGCTCCAAGAGCTTTCAGCCTTGCATGTCAGCATGTCTTTTGGTGTTTTTATTCATGTCCTGTTTAGGCAGCCATGCTGATGAGACTTCACAGGCATAGCCCATTTCTCTCACATTTCTAGAAGACACAATCTCACAGCAAACTTCCTGTGCCTCTGACTCTTAAAAATCTTTCTATACTCTCATCTACAATGATCCCTGAGCCTTAGGTGTCAGAATTGAGTTGTAGATATATCAGTTGGCACCACACATTCTCTTGTTCTCTGAATTTTAATTGGTTGTGGTTTTCTGAATGGTCTCTCTCTGTTACAAGAGAAGTTTCTTTGATGATAGGTGAGAACTACACTTATCTGTGGATGTAAAGATAGATATTTAGAATGTAGTTAGGGATTGAATTGGTATGGAAAAGTAACAAGTGTGGGTTTCCCTCCAAGATCCATGACTTCAATAGGTTTCCAGTAGTAGGCATGGCTTCCCTCCTGTTGAGCAGGCCTTAGGTCAACTTAGTGAGCTATTAGTCACCAGCAAGAGATGTGCGCCACTAATGCACCTGTAGGGTTAGTATGCCATGCTGGTCATTGTGGTTCCTTGGCATCACAGGTGGCTAGGACTATTGGTTGCTTCCCGCCCTTGGAAGCTTGCCTGGCCCCCTCTGGTACAATGAAAGAAAGTCCTGAGAGAGGAGGCTTTCATGTCAGTTCCAGCTCAGATCTTGTGGGTCCTGTGTCCAAAGGCCATGTTGTCTTCAGCAATAGGAGCTTAGCTTAGCTTCTACCTGTGGGAGGCAACCACGGGTGACCATAGCCTACGTTTTAAGAGTCTCTTGGACAATCCTGATAACAACTCAAAAGGGGACTTCTCATGCCTGATGTTAGGGGGTTTGCTACATGTTCTGTGGCTCTTGGAGGGAGCATCATCAGAAAAGATGGAAATTTTTCATTTAAATTATACGTGTGTATATAAATACAGACATATGAATTATTTTAAGTAAATGGATAATAATATGAAGCCTTCTGACTGTTTTAGACATCCTTACTGTTGTTTTACCCTCTTTCTTATGTACTCATCTCCCCCTCACTAATTAACGCACACATTTCCCCATTTCGTATTTCAAATCATTTGTACCTTGTTACTGTCCTCTCTGCTGCTCCTCTCCCACACCAGGATCCCCCTTCACTCTCCCGGTTTCTGCAGTTACTCTAGGTTATGCACTCCAGTCTAAAGCCTGAGAGCAAGGAACAACAGAGGAGAGAGAACGTGCAGGATTTGTTTCTTTGGATCTGTTACCTCATTATATTTTCTAGTTCATCCGGGTGTCTGAAATGTTCATGATTTTAGTTTTCTTTACAGCTGAATAATATTCCTTAGTGCATTTGTACTACATTTTCATCATCCATTTATTGAGGGGCATTTAGGTTGTTTCCATTCCCTAGCTATTGCCAATGGAACAGCAATGAACACGGCTGAGCAAGCATCTGTGGAGAAGAATATTGAGTCCTTTAGGCAGATGCCAAAGAACGGTATAGCTGGGTCATATAGTAGATTTATTTTTAGCTTTCTGAGAATATTATCCACACTGATTCTCAGAGTGGCTGGACCAGTTTGCCATCCTATCAAGAATGAATGAGGTTCCCTTTCCCCCACATCCTCTCCAGCATCTGTTGTCAGTTGTTTTGTCGATTTTTGCCATTCTGACTTGGGTAAAATGAAATCCCAAACTTGTTTTGATTTGCATTTCCTTGGTTGCTAGGGACAATGAACTTTTTTGAAATGTTTCTTAGCCGTTTTTATTACATCTTTTGATAGTTTTCTTTTTAGAGAACTACCAAAAGGCCATTTTTTTTTAAATGGGTCATTTATTTGTTTTTGTTTTTGTTGTTTTGCCTTAGGTATTTTATTTTTAAAAAATTCAGAATGGTTGTAAGGAACAATCATCAGGCTATCGGTGCCAGACACAGGCCACCAAGAGGCTAGCTTTAAAGATGTGCCTTAGGACCATGAGGGATCACTATCCCGCTTCACTGTAAGCGATGGCTTACACACAGCTGTTCCCATGGACCTAGCTTCTGCCCCCACAAACTATGGCACAGGTAGCTTAGTCTTGCAAGACCTCAGTTGGAGGACCAACCCACGTACATGTGGGTCATTCTCTATAGTAAGTACCCTTGGCCAATGAGGATTCACCTATGGCCTCAATTCAAGGTCCATGACAGACTGCCTTCACTGTGTGTGAAATGGGAAAAATCAACACCTTGAAAACATGGCCACTTCAGCACAAACAGGTTATGCCTTCATATGATTGCTACACGGCCCCATCCCGCTCTTTTACATGCCACTGAAAATAACGGGCTAGTGGCAGAACAGTGCAGGCTAGCTGCGGCTGAGTCTGTGGCCCAGGGAATGAGTTAGGGAATGGTCACTTAGTTTACACAGTAAGGAAATCATATACAGACTGGCACAAGAAGACAGGTTTCCCCCTTTCTGTCTCAATGTCTTCCTTTGCTGTGGCTCTCTTTGGAGTGCGATCTCTTCTTCATCTAATTTTGTGGTTTGGCTAAACCTAGAAACTTGTCCATTTCCTTTAGGTTTTCCAATTTAATGGAGTATAGGTTTTCACGGTATTCTCTTAAAATATTTTGAATCCCACTGGTGTCTGTTATTGTGTCTCCATGTTTATTTCTGATTCTGTTCATTTGGGTTGTCCTCTCTTTGGTTAGTTGGGCCAAGAGTCTATCAATCTTGTTTATCATCCCAAAGAATCAGCTCTTAGATTTGCTGTTATTGTTTTTTTCCCTTTGTTTCTACTAAGTTTGGCTCTGATTCTTATTACTTATTACTATCTAATGGGCTGGGTTTGGCTTGTTGTTGCTTCCCGAAGTTTTGAGTGACATCATTAAGCAACTCATTTGCTTGTTCTTTGTGGTTGTTTTTAAATGTAGGCACTTAAAGCTGTAAATTTCCCTAATGGGGGATATTTTTACTTAACATAGAGTCTAGAGTGTGAAATGTGAGACTCTTGAGATATTTTATTTTTCCAGTGTCTTTGCATGGGATCCAGTCAGACCCATTTTAGATTTCTACATTTAAAAAAGACAGGCTCAGCCGGGCGTTGGTGGCGCCGCCTTTAATCCCAGCACTCGGGAGGCAGAGGCAGGCGGATCTTTGTGAGTTCGAGGCCAGCCTGGGCTACCAAGTGAGCTCCAGGAAAGGCGCAAAGCTACACAGAGAAACCCTGTCTCGAAAAAACCAAAAAAAAAAAAAAAAAAGACAGGCTCTCCTGGTCTGTAAAAGATGGTTCCTGAGGAAAGGAACTCATTGCTCAGAGAATCCCATTAGTTGTTACAGTTGAGGATTCCATGACATTCCTTTCTGTCTACTCCTTTTTTTTTT